TATAATAAATACACTCAATTGAAAACTGGCTGGATTGAAAATGTCATGTCTGATGGTCATAAAGCAACTTTCAGGTGACAGGGAGATGACAGCACCGAATTTCAAAGAAAGTGGAGGTCTGAAAAGGCTAAAAAGTATTTTTTATCGTGAAAGCTGTTCCAGTGGCACTTTAATTGAGAATCTGAGATCCAGTGGCTGTAAAACAAAGTTTTCTATTTTTACACACATGCAGTATACAGAGAGATATTCAGTACTGGCACCATCCTGCCAACTGAAATGCAAGCATCTCCGGAACTTCATGCTGCACATACCTCATACATATCTTTTATTTAAAAGAACGGGTGAGCAAAACCTAACAAAGGAAATGACTGATATTAAGGGGTTTAATTTAAGCCACAGCTAATTTAAATCAAAATGCAGTCTAGTACAACAACAAACTCCCAAAGTTAATACATCCCCTTAGACCATGACTAACAAAACTCATAGTGAATCAGCAAATACATCAATCAAGGAATAATCAAAGGGGTCTACGAAAGACAATAGGTCAGAGGACGGAACAAGATAGATACAATATAAGACGAAACAGCACATGAGACAACACACCGCATGTGCACTTCATAAACTGAAACATTCTTCAATACTATTTCAGGGCTGATTCTGAAAGATTGGTCACGGACACATTCAAGGACAATTGCAATCGTTTACAAGAAATTTAAGAGCTTGTGATAATTCTCCAAGTCAAAAGTTGGTCAACAACAACCAGCAGTACAAAAAACCCTAGAATTTACCTTATTTAACTTGTTAACCCACGCATTGTAATTTTCAACAGCATGTGACTTCTAATCTATGCATTAAATTATCTATAAGTAAAAAGCAAAATACCAGTGTATTTCCTTTTTTCTGTGTATGAATGGGCAACTGGATTCTTAGTCACCCCTGCTGAGTCTGTTCAGATTGAGTCTCTTAACTCTTATCACAAAGTGGGTTGCACAAGGTTGTCAAAAAGAGCTAGACTATATTCATATTCCTATAGTCTCACAAATAAGAGACCACTGGAACAATAAACACAGTTTTGTTTGCAAATCAGCAATGCAAACCTTAGCTTAAGAAACACTGAATGAAACAATGCCCCAGCACTTAAAATCACATTAAACTGCCGTTACCCGGAACTCTGCATTCGCACACTGGAACAGAATGACAATATCACAGAATCGACACCGCATTATAACTCTCACCGTTGCTTTATTAGAATGTGAGCACTATTTTACTATTTAAATACTGTTCAGAGAAAGCTACACTGCACTTACAGCATGGGGTGTATGCATATGTTATTAGCAACTGGAATGGCATTCAAATTCAAGTAATGAAAAACAATTACATTTAGCAGTCTGAAGGTTAAAAACTGAATGCAGTAACTCTTTCAAAATCACCTCACGGTGGTTTCCCTAACCTGTTTCCTTCTTGCCTGATTGCTTTATGGGATTGCCTAATTTAGGCTTCAAATGCTGGGTGCCTTCCATTTCTTAATGATGGACATCACCATGCTCAAAAAGATATGAAGCATGATGGTATAAAAATGAAGTATACCCTTCTCCTGATCTGTGTCTTTAAACAAGCTAATCCCAGAGTTGCTCTGACAGTCCCCTGGTTTTCATGGATGGATCTTTGCTTGAAATTCACTACCTAACTGAGAAACCTTGTTGAGACACGTATACTCGTTCAGCAATCACCTGAACCACTAATATTGCATACAGAGGTCAATTAATAGCTTATTTAGGTCATTTTCACAACTGAATTCATTTAAACCTAAAATAATTCCACCACAGCAAAAGGTTTAAATACTTCTGCAATCATGATTTTTACTTTATTGGGTTTTTTTTATTTTTGGCTTTGAAGTTTGTGCACATAATAAATATTAACCACGACTTCCAAGCATCCAGACTGGAAGCTTTAGAACCACAAAATGAAAGTGCAGGTGTCTGCTTACGTGCAAGGCACTACATTTCAAGACACTTTAATCATTGGACTTTTAAGGAAATGTGATATTAGCAGAAATTGCCAAACTTTTCTTGTTTTACAGCGAGAATATGTTTGAATTTTCCACTGTTAAAGCCGAAGCTTCTGAAGGTTTACAAGTACAAAGTATTTTTTAAACCCGTACTTTGCTTTTGACTGCTTGTCACACGAAACAGGAGACTGCACAGCGAACTGAAGTCTTGTTTTTCAAGCCACTCAGCAGGTAGAGCATAAGCTACTCAGTAATGCTTCCTGTGTTACATGGTCTGTGGCTTAACCCTGCCTGTGCCACCATTTACAGCCAGCAGGTAGCTGGGCTCCCACTGCCATCAGTTCTTCGCCTCTCTGCTTGAAATTATCTCCCGTGATTGTTACGTCTTGTATGTCATGATAGTCTCGGTGTGGGTTAGAGTTCCGACAGCAATAGTCCTTTCATTTTTGATCAAGAAAATATGAACTGAGCTTCTGACCAGCAGAGGTTAATGTGATTAAGTGACATAGAGCCGAACCTTCCTGGGATGTTTCGTCTCAGAAATACGCATATGCTTAATTAGGAAAGAGTGAGTGTAAGACGAAAGTCAGAGGGTAAAGATGTGTAATTGTTTTTGTTTTGTGTATAATTAGACCCTTTGACAACTTTACAGCTACTTGCTCACTGCAAGAGGAGTTAATTGTGCATAATAATAAGCACACTGCTATTGCAATCAAGACTTTTTCAGCAAGGGGTACAAATAATGGCACTGCTCATTGGGGGGTTCAAACATAAACGCATAAAGCAAAATAAGCCGCCGCAGCATTACTGATCGGAAAATGCACAGGCCAAGTGTTAAACTAAGTTTCATATGAATTATCAGTTTGGAAAACAAAAGTTTTTGCTTCCTGCAGATTTCCCTTTTGAATATGTTGCTTATTGTGGCGAAGGATCTACGCCCGTGGCTGGAAGGTTACCGGTTCGTATCTCGTGGCCGGCAGAGGAATCCTACTCCGTTGGGCCCCTGAGCAAGCAAACCCCAACTGCTCCAGGGGCGCCGCATAGATGCCTGACCCTGCTCTCTGACCCAGAGCTTCTCTCCCTGGCTGTGTGCCTGTTTGTCTCATGGAGAGCAAGCTGGGGAATGTGAAAACACAAATTCCTAATACAAGAAATTGTATATGGACAATAAAGTGATCTCTCTCTTATTAAAAAAATACTGCACGCAATAGTTAAAATTACTGAAAGGTGATGCAAGGCCATGTCTTTTCCAGCTCACTGTACTCTTTGTCACAGAGACCCCCCAAAAATCTTTCTGGCCCACAGCTGTCAAGTTTGAGGGTAATGTATAAACTGAAAGAGAAAATTTTCATTTAAGATATGACCCTTCACACAAAACCTCTGAAATTACAAAAATCGTAAGACCTACAGCACGAAACAAATCATCATGTCTGCTGTTTGGATGCGATGGTACAACAGTTACAGCCTTCCTTTTGGGTCTTGTTTTGACAAATGGACTCCAGAAATTTGACTGGTACAGCTGCATCTTCAGACAATCCAGATCCCCACTGTAACACGTGTTTCACAGTGAAGAGATCATGTGATTTGGATGAATCCTGTACATTTTTGGAAGCCAGTGTACCAAAGAAGGGACAAACAAGCACAAAGCAACCAACAAACAAAACAGTGCTTAATTTACAGAAGCCTTAAGAAAACGTCAGTGAAACTGAAACATACTCTAAGCTTTCAAAATCACATCTTTGCAAAAACTGAAACTGAAGTTACAATCTGTATATTTGTTATTTTTCCAATAATACAAATTGCTTCATTTAGCTAATTTGTGCTTTACACTGCTATAAACCTATATAAACCTTGTACTTTACAATTAAAACTGAACAGACAGTTGCAAACCCTTACTTTATCTCTGAAAGAAGTATTCGGGCAGCCAAATCTGAAATTATATCTTCACATAGAATCCAACCCTGATTTAAGTGGTGATAGTACTATAGAGCCAGGTTTCCATGACAACCAGGAGACTTTTCAGGCTCATCTCACTTCTCCAAAAAATTCTGAATGTACCGTATTATGCAATGTGTGCTTGAAGGTTTATTTTATCAACTATTCAAAACATCATGAATACCATATTGATCGGGCATTGAACTGAGATTAAAAGGAAGCTGAGGGTGTGTATGGCAATGCTTGCTCAAAACGTTTCAACAGGATCTGTCTCAACAAAAACATCAAAATCCTCTCCAACGGAGTAGATTGTCTTTCCAATCGTTGCGATGTTCTTGGTGTTAAAAATTCGGTTTAGGAGAAAAGATCTATTAATTTAATTCTTTTATAGCAGCCTTGCAAAGAAAAACCTTGGGAGATGATCAGACTGCGGTGATTTATGGCAACACGTTGGAGACTCCTCATAGTTCCCATGAGAAGCTGCATCACTCTTCTAAATCGAACAACCTCGGAGATGAGCTGCACTTGTGATATGATATGGCATCTCATCTGGCACTATTAATCCATCCTCTGTCCCTCTGTCCCCTCAGACGAACTTCTCTTTAGACAAATGTGCCAGGAGTGACCTCTGCCTTGTGACCTGATCTCACTGCTCAAATCTACATGTTAGAAGGTCTGCTCTAGAGTAAAGAATGGGCACGATGCATATCTGTCGCACCATTAAAGAAGCTGTTTTTAGGACTTGGGCAAGGAATTAATTACTTGAATATCTCCAACAGCACATATAGTACTGAACATGTTCAAGTAGGGAGCTGCGTCAGCATGTGTAGGCTGCAAAGGAACAGGTAAAGGTTTATTCCATGCTGATAAGGAAAGAAAAGAGACACGGAGTTTCGGCCGTGGAGCCTTCTTCAAATTCTCTGTTTATTTTGTCAGTGTCTTTGAGGATCCCTACTGCTTAAACTAGCCCCTCTCGAAGACAGGTTAGGTCTCCACAACTGAAGAAGGCTCCACAGCCGAAATGCTGTCTCTCTTTTCTTTTCAGCGCGGGACAAACCTGGAGCTGAGGCTGTTTAAGGGCCAGCTCGGGCCTCTCCTGTACCTTGGTGAGTAGTAAGACGCGCTTCTGGAGTCGCCGAACCAGCGCGTCCTGCTGCTCACGTCTCTTCTGCTCTTCCAGGAGCTTGGCCCGCAGCTGCAACAGCTCGTTCTGGAGCTCCAGGCGGACCTTCTCCAGAGCCCGAGCACTGCAACAACAACAGCAACCCATGCTTACTGTCCAGCAAAGAACATGCCACCTCCAGATACTGAGATCAAAGGTTCAAATATAGATGCAAACAACATATTCCAGTTTTCTTCCTCTAATTTACTGCACATAAGTACTCTACCTACCTTACCTCTAGAAGCCTTCAATTTGAGCATTCAGGTTTTACATTAAAACAAAGATTAAAAATTCCACAAAATGGGACGCCAAAGGGTCTGAATCATTTACTGGCCACCATGTGGGTAATCCTTTCAAGTTGCTTTGATGTGATAAGCACTATGTCATTGCAAGGATTTATCAAAAAATAAAGTGAAACATTTTCAACTCTTGTTTAAACAAAAACAGACAAATAACAAAGATGGAAAAAATGTGACCGTTACCAATTTTGAAACAAATATCACCAGAGTGTGTATGAAAATGTTAGATTCACAGAGAGGATCATCATATAAAAACCGTCATTACTTCTGCCTTTACAAATATTCTAACATGTACATAACTCAAGGCAAAGGAATTGAATACGTACACACTTTTTAAATGATACTTGGAATTCCAGTTTGAAAAATAAGCTGTAAATGTATTTTGAAAGAGCTAACGAAAAGATTTAAAAAGACAAAATGACTGAAAGTTTCAACTGCATTTTATCAATAGTATAAATGGGTGGCCTTTACATAAGGCCAGTATAAGAATGTGTCAGTCTGTTTGTGATGCTATTACGTTTCTGTAACAACCATTACAAGATTTTTTTCCCCACTATAGATTAAGCACACAATAAAAGAATGACATTTCAATTCAACGAAAATAACAATGCCCACTGAACCTTGAGTTTGTTAGTTTGCCACAGTTTTAGCTGCGGTTATTTTCCATGTGAAAACCACAAGCAGGGAACTGTACTAGACATTTCTACTGCAGACATACACCTTCACACAAACAAATGTATAAATAAGTACATTTATAATTACATACTTATGCACATAATAAGTGCATTCTCCCCTGCAGTTTCTATTTCTATCATCTAGTCAGTCTCTTTGAGGATTCTGAATGCATGAACAAGGTCCTCTCATAGTTTTCTCTAATCAAGAATTTTAAAAACATGTCAAGAATGTAAGCAATGTATAGGAACAATGAAGAAAAGTGTCACTAATACAGATTCTTGTAGTACTCCTCTAGGTATATCATTACAGTTGGAACATCCATCTCTTACCTATACCTTAATTTTTATTAAACAACCATTTCTTAATACAAATGTATGTTTCCTTGAATATCTAGCATTTTCAATTTGAGCATTCATTTTCCTCAAAGCCTTCCAAAAATCTAAATACCCGAACCTTATGGGAAAAATAGGGTTAGGAGAACTGAAGTCACAATTATTATTTTTTTTACCTTTAATAAAGAAAAACTATAACATCAGAGTAAAGAAAACAACAACATAGCTTGGGAATAATATTGTAAAGACAGCAAGGCGTTTCTGGCATGATTCTTAACTTTATGGCTGTAGATAGGGTCAGGTACAAGAACGTAAGCCACAGATACTCAAATTCTAAATAATTAAAGGAAATAGGTTAATTCAACAAACTGCAGTATCGATACCAGTTTACTCTCTTCTTGTCTGTGACGATTTTCTTCTTCCACCAATGCAAATCAGCCTATTTTATCAGCATTCGGAGATAAATAGGCACCGAATTGGGAGACTTTTCTCCAACTTCTCACTTGACCTTGAGCAGTGAGAATGAAATGAGTTGCAGAGGGAGTTCAATTCTATCAAACTCTCTGGATAATAAGATCTCTGCAATATTCATTTACCCTTTCATCAGCCTTCTTAAAGATCAGAACCGAAGGGAAAGAGGTGTTTCCCTGCTGATCCACAAACCGCCCAAACCCCACTGTGGTAGCCATTGCCAACCGCCACAAACGTCCGAAGTGAAGCAGAGCGAAAATAAATTATCTGAACTCAATTAACTCTGAAAATGCATCAACGCACACTTTAAGCACAAATGCCACACACGGGCCGAACGCCTGACGCACTTGTCCAAAGGTAACGTCGATTTTGCTCAAGTCCCAAGACATGAGCTGTAATGAGTCAAAATAACTTTACAAGCAGGACAACAGGTACACTGAAAATGCAGCCTCGAGAAAGAAAATGTAATTCAAGGACACAAAGCTTGAAAAATAAAATGTGTTATTAACTGCAACACGAGAAATTGTCTTTTGGTTTGAAGTGATTAGCTCAAGTGATTAGATGATTTCATTTTTACTGAAGAAACCCATTTAATAAAGAAACGTAATTTGTTTGTATTTCCCCTGCCTATTTTCTCTTGTCAGTCAGAAGATTGGTTCTTTATTATTTCTGACTCTGCTTCCACCACCTGAGTTAAAATACAGACCAAGCTCATTTCTGTACTGTTAGCAGCCTGTCTCCAATAAGTTTCTTGATGTTCTGCATTGAATGCTTGCAATTGTAATACATATTAAAGAGGACAGTATGCTGATGATATTTGCTGGACTGTGTTAAGGAAAATCATGCAACCAAGTACAGCTACAGCATCTTCAAGCAAAAACAAAAAATACAAATGTCGGCAAATATATAAAATATACAAATGATCATCAACGCAAAAAGTTTACTGCACCATCTTATCAGTTCTTTTGTTTATCACTCAATATTCACATAGATATATGATCATGAAAACATGCTGCATAGGAAAGATGTTGCTTAAATCACTTTTACTCTAATACTGAGATGACACTGATTAGACCTGACACTTCATTCCCTGCTATACCATATTTAGATGACTTTCATAAATGACATTCTAGCTAAACTAATGCACAAAAATGCAAAAACAATTCTAATCAACACAGTTCTTTCCAAAGTACACAGCCCATTTTTAAAAACACTAAAGTTTGAGTCACTTCTAAATTGTGCAGTCAATTATATTTAAAGGAACTGGTGATGGGTTTATTCCCTGCTGAAAAGAAAAGAAAGGAAACACAAATATTATAAATTAAATATACAATTGTATTTAATACACATACAGTGAAAAGTTTGCTAAAAAATGACTTTATATAAAGGAAGTATCACATCCAACATACAAAACAACTTACAAACTCAGTCTTAAGGCACACTTTTTTATTTTATTACCGCTACTATTTTCTCAAAATAAGTGGAAAACTAATCTTAACATCTCAGTACCACGTTGCACCTGATTATGAAAATGAATAATTTGTTGACAAACTCCCCTTCAAAAGATAATTAACCATAAAATAACCTCAAAGTACTGACTGTGTTGGTTGAACCCATATGAAGTTGGGTTTCAGTATGTTTTATTTCTTCTAAAAAGGAAGATAAGAATAAATCATGTACAATACAACTCTTCATTCTCACTCTCTAGACAAGATGAAGACTACAAACAACAGAACATTTAACATATCACAAACCTCAGCACACTTTCCCATAAAATTTCTTAGATTATCTCAAATTAGATCCTACACAACCTAATCTATCACTGGTTAAAATAGTGACAGTCTTTCATTGTAATTATCTAGCTTTACTGAAAATTAAGGTACATAAATCAAAACTGTTAACCATTACAGGACAGATTGGTACATTATGTACATGAACATGAGTCACTGAAGGATTCATTTTTATTTTTGTTGGAAGAAAATCAGTATGCATATGCATATAAAATTCAAAAACATACACTACAAAAACTATTTAAGTAAGAAGAATTTTTTAAAACAAAGTACATTCCAAGCTGACTTCGTCGGCAAAAGCAAAGGAAAAGAACAAAACAAAAGACAATTTAAGTTTTTCTTTTTTACGCGCAAGACTGGAACATTTGGATAAAAAATAAAAGAAAAAATACAAAAAGCTCCATCATCCATCCTTTTTGGTTTTAATGAGAAATTCAAACTTAGAAGCATTAATGGAATCTACTCCCTATCTCAAATGCTTAGAGAGACATGTTGCGAATTTGAAAAACTTTTTTTTCCTATTTCTAAGGCAATTAATTTCAAACCGTGGGAATTTATAATGACAGCCCACATAACATTATGCCGTGAAAACTTTTATTTATGCACACTTGCCTTAATAATATTTGGGAAGCAGCAGGTAAAGCAAACATCTGCTACACCTGACTTGCGATTAAAAAATATATTTTTAAAAGCCTCACGCACGTCTACATACGAGAAATAAGGAACGAAAAAATGTGGTCCCTGAACTGCTCATTATACAGCCTGTGCACAGTGGAACCACACTGAATTCAAAATTCAACAAAGTATAAGAAGCCAAATGTATATGGGATTCCCCAATCGGTGGCTCACAAACGACTGACCTCCTCTGAGGCAGGGTGGAGATAATTCAATTCAATTTATTTTTATATAGCGCCTTTCACAACAGGTGTCCCCAAGGTGCTTAACAATGCAAGTAACCATACATTGTGTGAATACAGAACAGAAGACCAGAAGACAACAGAGGAGAGGAACCAAAAGCTCCTTAATAAGGAGAAAAAAAAACCTCTAGGGGACCAAAAACAACTGGCTGCCCAACTCCTTTGGGCATGCTAACATTATATAATTAAAAAAAGTAAATAAATGAAAGAGGGTATTAATCCATCCATCCATCATGTCTTCTGTATGTCAGTACTCCATGCAGATCTCTGTAGACCAGTAAATACTTCCTAAACGATAGCTATATCCACGATGGCCCTCTTGGATCCATGACAGTTATGCAGCATTCAGCTCACATGGTGCCCAGCCAGGGCACCATCCATACATGTGGGGAGGACAATAGTTTGGGATGGTTTGGTCAGAACAGATGTATCTACCTGGTGGGCCAATGAGTCGGAGCTTCCTCGGAAATACGCTGATCAGAAAGTCCTACAATTTGTCAAATCCCTGTGGGCTTCCGACACTTATATACCATGAGAAACTTACCTCATATCCCATTGGACAGGTGGTGCAACCCCACCCGACAGGCACTGTGGAGCATGC